GATTTTTAAAGACTTTCCGTAATATATGTATTTTTTATATGTATTTTATTTAAAATCACGTGTAACGCAACCATATCACTGTGTTATTCGACTTATTGCATTAAAAAAAAAACCGAAATTCACACATAAAATATGCCGTGAGTTTTCAAAATCATATCAAACACTCGAAACACGCTGATCAAAAATAATACACGACATTCCGCTCAACTTTTTTTTTTACCATTAAGCACAATTATTTATGATAAACCTTGTAGAACATCTCTATAGCATTTGTGTACGTTTATATATAGCTGAACGAATTTTATACACATAAAACCAAAAAAAAAAACCTGTCAATTTCAAATATAGATATTTCAAAAAAATTGTCAAAATATTTTAAAAACTGTGTTATGTTTAAAAATTGTCTATAAATAAATATTTGAAAAACATGTCGGGTTTTAGAAGTGTTTTCACAGGGTTTCAAAAAAAAAAAAATTGAAATCAAAACGACTTTTCTATGCACAAATTTTACCCAAAATTCTACAAGAAAGTTTTGGTAAAGTTTTTAACCCATGCTAGCCACCTATCTGGAATCGATAAAAAATCTAAATATTATAAAAGAAAAAACACACCATATATGTATAGTAAAACCAATCGGTGGATTATTTATGAATTTTTTTTTTGGAGGGGGGAGAGAGAATGCGTATACACAATTTAGACGGCTAAGTCCGCCCAAATCACATTAAGCCCATTAATATTATTGGAAAAGTCTGCCCCGGGAAGAAGAGTGTGTAAATCTCTCGCCTAGAATCCTAATCTAACCTAATATTTCAACGATCGTATTCGGTTAAATTTTGAATTTCGTGTAGTTTTTCGAACGTTTTGTTTTATTCGAGAATCCGCACAGCACGAATGTTATAATTAATTATACGCCTATTATAATAAGCCGGTAGAAAGTATTTTCTTTTTTTATTTATATGTATATATTTTTTTTTTTTTTTATTCATGTAATTACTCAATTGCTAATAATAATTACTATATAGTTATTATGTCATAAAAAGTATGTACAACCGTTTTGTTTTCTGTTTTTTTTATTTAATAAAATCTCAACGAATTTTATAAACGTGTATTTCTCCCCTTTGCTAACTGCGACTCCATTAAAGTTATTACAGTTCCGTGTAAAAAATGTACAATATAATAAATTATATTATTTTACAGCCGTTCGTGATTTCATATCCTGTATGGGACGCTAATTAACAAACATAGTATACGACAACAGCTTTTACAAATGTATGATTGAAATAAAAATTAAAATTAAAAAAAATAAAATAAAAATGTATAAGAATCCGTAATATTGGTTTGAACTAAACAGTTTGTAACTGTAAATTGTTATGATTGATATCACCCCGAAAATATCGCGTCTTTTTCTGAAGAATCTGTAAGAATAACTAACAATAGTTGGTTAATCGACTTGAGGGAACTGTCACAGTAGTATTTTTCGTCTTTGTTTTTCTATAATAACGAGCTATATAGCAAAATGGTATTGACTTAGAATAAGAGCGAGACGGTCTTGAAATTCAGTAAGGACTTTACGATTTACATCAAAATTTAGCCTTTAAACGCCGCCTGCAGGTGAAAATAACATAAAAAGCTATTACGGATTTTCGATATTTTTATAATTAAAACGATTACTATTATGATGGATGAAAAATTATATGTATCATCTTTTTAAACATTTTACGTAGCGAACTAGAACCATAGAAAAACCAATACGTTTCTCCTCGTTATATTCAAAATCTAAAAAAAAAATATTATTCTGCTGATGACCATTGGAGGACAATTGGAAGGGAAAAGAATGTAAAGAGAAATTTAATGTAATATATTTTATCACAACGATAAACCGTTCCAGACGAAAAACGATCCTGAGCAGAGTACCTATTGTTAGTCGTACGATTTCACGTGTTGCCAATAAGGTAACCGGAATTCTAGATAAGCCGGAAATCAACAAAAATTATGAAAAAATTACCGATTTTTCCTATTTACTAAGAAAAAACTACGGAGACGTCGAAAAAGACCTCTACGACGTTCCGGCTGTATCAAAAAGCTACGAGAAAATTCCAGTAAATGTCTTGATCGGAACAAGATATTTGGTAAAAAAAAAAAAAATTGACGGAAAACGAAAAAAAAGTGAAACCGATATATTCCTAGGTTCGCTCGGCATTCAAAATATATTTTCCTCGGTTTTTCTCGATTACACGCGTGCAAACGTCGACCTCCAACGGTTAGAACGTGTACATTATTATTGCGTTGCACAGGATAATTTACACGGAAAATTGCGTAATTATTGTTCCCGCGAGACGTTTCGCTGCGCAGAATTTTTAACATAACGTAAACAATAATGAAACATATTTTAAGCATGGGAGTTTTCGAACGCCGCCGCCGCGGAAAACTAAGTTTCAACAAACTCACTGGTAACGCCGCGCGAACAATGCGGCGCGGCGGTGTGATACCGTATAATAACAATAACAATGATAATATGTAATTTCGCGAAGACACGACACCAAGAGACCGAAATGATAATAACAATCGCGCAGTTATTATAGTTATACGTTATTGTTATTATTGTTGTTATTGCATAACGATGCGCGTGGTGTAGGAATTCTCGGCCGTGAAAAACCACGGTTACAGCGTCACGATTCGCGGGCGTTATTTTTCCGTTTTAAACAATGTCGAGGAAAAGATTTTCCTAGCGGCAGCGGCGCGAAAAAGAAACGGATTCTCCGCGGTGTCCGGACGGCGGCGAGCGTGATGTTCGGACAGGATCCGGCCTGTAAGAAAGTTTCAGTCGGACCGTCTCTATCTGCCCGGGCGGATTGCGCGGATATCGTACGTCGGGCGCACATTTATAACGACCGACGACGAGATTTCGCGGGGCGAACCCGTTTCCCCAAGTTTAAACAGACGATAATTTGGCGACAATAACAATAATTATTCCCGATAAACGCATTCCCGACGATTTCTATTGGGACGATAATCATCACGAATGGCAACGGCTATGACGACGCTGCGGCCGACCCGGTTTTCCGTGTATCAATAATGTTTAACTACACCGGTGCCATTGAGTTTGCGCACCGATCGCGACGATTCGCCGACGAAAATATCACAGCAATATTCTTTCGTGGATCCGCGACAAGTTGCACGGTCCGTTTCTCGTCCGCGCGCTCCAACGATTCGTCGCGTATGCAAACGGCCGGCACACGACTGTACTCGATAACACAATTAGAGGTTTTTCGGGTACATTATTCATAAACAAACGGGGTATTGTCCGGGTAATAATATCGATCGAAATCGGGTAACCTAACCTACCGATATAAGAATAATGAAAATAATCGAGTGTCTACTAAGAGTTATTGCCGGCTAAGCCACCTGGCCACAAGCCAGTAGTTTCTAAGTAATTGCTCAATAAAATAATTAAATCTAAATATTAAATGGCATATTATACAGTTATACATTTATATTATTATTGCTATTTGCTAGTTTCCTATTCGAGATAAAAAGACGAATATGGTAAATTAAGATGATAAATAATAACTCGGGAAAATTGTATACAACTAAATCTATAATGCATTTGATAAATCATTTTTCTGGGGGTTTCTATTTTCGCCAAGTACATAATTATATACATGCAGTACAAACGGTGTTTTGAAGTGTACTTATAGTCGAGTCAACGAGCTGAATATAGTAAATGTTATTTTTTGGAAATTTAACACCGCTTAGCTCCCTTAGACGCTTTCTGAAAACAAGATCTGGTTATCGCTATGCTAATCGGTCGGTGGTCAAGTAATTCCCTCGCGTCCGGTCTGGCTTCTGTCCTGACCGTCGACGAAACGAGAAACGGTTAAATTAAACTCCTCGAATATGGACTTATAAAAACAAAAAACTAGTTAAAAGTCGTTTCTGTTGTTTTCGCAGTACACTAACCGAAGTGACCGTAAATCGATAAAAGAAAAAAAAACCGTCTTAAATTCAAGAGTTTTACCCTTCGTAGCGGAATATTTTCTCATCCTGCAGTAGTCCTAAATAATACCATAATTCCTATGGCATCCGATTTCCACTATTTGTGTCCACGGCCGACTTATTTGCAATACTGACCACATTAATATATATCACAAGAGACTTTCTATAATAAATCAAAGACTTACGAAATTCTATCATTTTTACTAAACAAAAACTATTAATCCGAAAAACAAATCCGTTTATATATAAGACACCGCTAATGTCCAGGTATTATGGAACTATTGCACGAACTCCAAATCTGGAAAATCGCCAATGTCTCTAAACCTACAAACAAATTTTTCGTTCCGATTAAAAAAACTTCGTTCAATAACGGGTGCTCTTCCGCGATACGTTTTCAATCGTGAAAACATTGATACTCTACACTCCGATCCGCAAATAATTATCGCCGTTTCTGAGTCCGCGTCCGTCATCGGCAAACGGTGTCGATCACTCGATCCCGTAATCTCTAGTCCCAAAATTAGAGAGACTTTAGCTGGCCGATGGTACAGAGACAGCGAATATCCGGCATGCAGGCTTTTACATTGTCCGCGGCTGTTTTCATTTTCTCGTCGTGTTAAACGTGCCTGTCGTCGGTCATCGTTAGAATTAATTCACAGATTGCGTATACCCGATGAATTAAAAAAAAAAAAAACGAAATTTCTAGCGCGAATTAATGGAATTTACGAATCCGCGTCAGTATCGGTCGCGTTTTATTCCGATATTGCGGTGTCCCGTGACCCGGGAAAAATGATTTTTTAACAATGGATTCGCCGCGTGAAAGAAAACAAAAAGAACGAATCGTAAGCTGACGGATTCCGCGATGACTGTGCGATCGCGCAGTGTGACGCCGCCGTCGAAGCGGATTTCAAAGCGACTCGGATGTTATTTTTCTCTCCGATTTGTTTTTTTTTTTCTCACCGTCGGTATAGCAGTGTATTATTATGACGACCGCGCAGCGCGGTTACCGGAGAAATCCGGCGCATTCGGCCCGCTTAAAAGTTCTGTTTGTTTTGATCGATTGCCGGGCGCGGCCGCCGCGATCGTGTCCCCGGGTGCGTGCTCGTCGTACGCAACGGCCGTGGATACGAAACGGGCGCGCCGAGACATACGGATCCCCGGACGGCTGTTTACTTTTCGGTCACCCATTCGCTCAACCTAACCTGACCTAACCTAAAAGTATGACGTCCGTCGGCCCGACATTCTCGTCCGATCGTCAACAGCGTGGTGATCGCCGGTACATTTATACCGATCGAACGGATCCGTGTTCCACAATATCGCGTTTCTTCGTCGCATCATATTTAACGCGTTCGAAAATTCGTTTAAAATACGGTACAAAAAAAAACAAATTTGTCCTAGAATAACGGGGACAGGTGCAGTCACTGTTGTAGGCGGGAAGTCGGGAAGGCAGGATATAGACGAAAATTTAATGTACATCTGTACGCAACGATTGCTAACGAAAAAACGATTCTGAACGGAGTTCGTTTGACAGAGTTTTTTGTCAACAATATCATATTATGATAAAATAATTGCACGTGCACAAAAAATGTTCGTTAATTATATTTGTTAAATACTGTACCTATTTTCCTGTTTTCCTACGTTTTTTTCCCGATTTTTCCCATTTTGTTGAGAAAACTCCTCGGAAAATCAAAAAATTATTTCCCTAAAGTGCCTTCCCAGTCGTGATTTGGATGTCGAAAAGGATTTTCCCCGAGGGAAATGTAAATAAAATCTCGAATACGCGTTTGTCAACCGCTAACTCCTGAACAATTATGTATTTATGTCATATACCTCGTGAGTTGTATAAAATAGAAGTCTGTGTGCTATAATTATTTATTTCTATGCCACAAACATTTATTTAAACTTTAAAAGTTTAAACGGTTTAAGAATTCGTGCGTTTTGCGATTGCACACTCGACTAAATATCATGAAAATAACTTATATATACGGATGACAAAGTTATCATATATGACTTGTGTTTGGAAAATAAACTTGAATTTATATTATTACGAATAGAAAAAAAAAAAAAAAACCAGAATACTTTATATATTATTATAAAATGCTTTATAAAAAAAAAAAAACTACATCGAGACATTCCCATCACATGAAGCCTCTGGTCAACCGAACACGTTCAATCCGATTTAACTATACGCGGGTACTTTTTGGTCAAACGAACCGTTTGAAAACTTACGGACCGATATATACGAGGTGTTACACGAAGAATTACGATATCTTGGAGAGCATCAACTTTTTTCGACATTTTATTTTTTTACCCGTTGACGAAAACCAATCATTTCAACGCCGTACCTATTTAAACTATTTTACCGTCTGTTTATGGCATTTCTGACATAGGTTGCCATGGTTTAAAATCAAAAAATATTAATAGTCGGTTCACCTCCGAAAATTGGGACGATATAGAATAACAATGGAAATGTAAAATTGTATAGAGCTATATTTGTATCTTAAATTCCAAAAAAAAAAAATGAATACTTTCCGGATTATCGCAATGAACGATCGCACTTCGTGGGACACCCTTTATATTACGACTGTTATATACAAATGCGTCTACTGTAATCTGTGTAAAACGCGGAAAAGGCGCGAAAACACACACGTGCGTATATTATAAGTGTTGTTTTATTACGGGTCAAGCGCAGAATTGAAAAATTACGACGAGTAAAAGCATATCGCGGTAATTATGTTGACGTAACCCGCCTATAAAGTTTTCGAATCGAATCAGTGGCGTACTGGCGTACAAACCGGAGGAGAGTTGAGATAGTCGGGATCGCTTGTAATAATGGCCGCTGATGAGGATAGTGTTATTTTCGGAACGCATCGGTCCGCGTTTTAAGCGCGACATTTTCAAAAACAACAATAATTACTAGACGTAAACTCTATTTCCCCCGTCGCCCCTTCCCCCCATTATTGTCAAATTATACCAAACACGTATACGCGAGTCTAAACGATAAGGCGGGAAAAACGATCAGAGGGGATTACAAGTGAGAAAATACAAACGTAATAGCGTATTTAGATCGTGACGCGTATAATTATTGGTATCGTTAGTTACGTGTAAATGGCGTTCAGCAGCGCGGCGACGGGCCCGGGGCCGGCGTCAGCGTCCACGGCGAACCGGGCCATCACGTACAGAATGTCGTGGTGTTTGCCCAGCGGGCACACGGACCCGTTGTCGCGGACCGCGCGGCCGTGATGGGCCACGGCCCCGGCCAACGCCGCCTCGCTGGCCCGGCGACGGTCGCCGCCGCACCACGGGCCGCACAGGCCTTCCACCACGGTGACCAGGTACTCCCGGTGCTGCGTCCGCTTGTACGCCGGTATCAGCTCGTCCCGTTCCAGTTTGTCCATGATCTGCGCGTAAAACTCGTCCAGCACGGCCTCCATGACGGCGGAAGGCGGCCACGGCGAAACGGTGATATAATGACGCGCGCGCGCGGCCGACAACCGCCGTCCGATTTGCCGCCGTCGGAAGCCGTATAAGCGGTTTCCGAATCGATACGATATTATCGTAGGGCGGTTATAGGTTACCTACAAACCGCAATGATAACGATAATACAGATAATGCTGGCCGCTATCCGGAAAAAACCTGGTTGCGGTACGCGCCCTTGACCGTGTCGGGCGGCACGAGCTCCAACGCGTTTCCCCGCCACCGGATCCGCACGTATATTACGGTCGCGTCCGCGCGCTACAAACGGCCGCACCGGGACGACTCAACCCTTCGTACTTATAAGTCCTTATGATGTCGGCGTCGCCTCCGCTGTTCAAATTATTACTCTCCTATACTTTATAGGCTCCGGGGTTGTGTATATAGTGTCTAACGGTAAAAAAAACAATGATTACTAAGCGACGGCGGCGACGTGAAAAACGGAATAAGAAAATAAGCCAATCTAATTGATATGCTTTGCGCGATTTGTATGATTATTATTGTTTTTTTTTTTTTTATTTTATTTTTACATTTGTAAACCGTGCGATCGAAAGTACAGACCGAACATATTATGGCCCGACGAGTTTTCCGAAAAAGTTCCTACGTTTTTAATTATTCTGCGGCGTTATTGAAGTAACGATTATTAAAAAAAAAACCGATCGAATGTGTTTTGCGCGATGGTAACAACGGCGGTCTATAGTCGGAGTATATACACGTAGTCACTCTACGTGGCGCATTTTTAACGTTTCGTGATAACTGATAACACTGTCGCAGTATATTTTTTACCCCGGCAAAGCCGCCGCTAACGTCACATTAAATCCGTTTTAAAAATCGTTTTAAACAACTGACACAATCCACTAGTTTAAAAATTACAAAATATTTTAAGTATTGACGAAAAAATGACTTTATAACTCGCCTATTCGAATTATCATCAACCAATTAGAGGTTAAGCCAGAAAATTCGGACGTGAAGTCTCTATTCGCTGATCACTATTATCTTCAGAACAGACTCTATAAAGAACACCAGACCGGAAATTCGGTACTTAAGTTCGTCTTGTAGACCCAATGAGTTTGTAAAATTTCCCCGTATCAAAGTAATGGGATTAACAAATGACTACATGTTCGCCTATGAATATCACTTACATAATTTTTTTCACCAATCACTGGTTTCCGTTGGTTACACTGACCAAAAAAAAAAAATTACCTGTCATTTTGAATATTTATATTGATCCGGTTGTCACGACCGGTATATTACATAATAAAAATACATATAGGGTGACTGTATACCCTCACGCCATCTATGAAAAACTGGAGAGGCGTTCGCAATATTGAAAATAACCGACATACTTCGCACCACGAGTGTTCCACTAAAGTAAAATGTTTAAAATATAAAAATAAAAGCTCCGAAAGGCGCGTTCCCGGTACTCGCACCGTGCAAAATTGCATCCTCTCGGCTTAACTCGGTGGTCCGCTAAACGATTCTCAAAACATCCTCTTCTCGTAAAAACCCGGTGAAATTCCTATTGAAATCGATTGAATATTGGATATTCGTTATGTTTCCGTTTCTAACATAATATAATAATATGTACGCCTGTGATCGTCACGACGACGGCGGTATGAGATCGTCGATCCAGTTTGGACTAACCGAATAGAAACGACGCGTTTTGAATATATAAACGAGATAAACGGAATACCTAATAATAATAATAATAATAATAACAATTACGATTTCGTATCTATACGCGTACAGCCAAACTGTTTCTCTCGTCTGGTATATACTGTATAATACGAGGATTTATAACGCGCGAACGCCGAATAATCGCGGGATTAAATTTTATAACGCGTATAATATTATGTTTATGACCGAACGGCGCGCGTACCCACCCGCCTAATCAAAGTGCGCCGTCGGTCTAGAAATTAAATCGATTTTATTATTATTATTACTATTATATACGCATGCCTATAATACCTACACGTCCTGTAGTACGAAGTCTGAAAATGTCGAAGAGAGAAAGCTTCAAAACGGAAATGCTTAAATCTCTCGTGACTCACAGCGTATTATACATAGTATTATTATTATTATTATTATTGTACACATCGCAGTTGACAACGGCGAAGACTCACCGGGTAACGCGTATAATAAAATATGATAATAATCATTATTGTCGTAAAGACGAACGAAAGATAATAACGCGAAAATAAGTAGTGAAAAACGCAAAGTTTCACTACTATACCTATAGTATAATTATTGTTATTATTATTTCGCCATATTTCTTCCAAAAAGGTATTGTGTTTCGAACGGCGGGTACACGGGTAAAACAATATAAACCGCGTCATGTACCTATAATGGGTACCCGGGTACCTAACGTACTCTCCTTTGAAAATCGCGTCGGACCGACGATTAATATGGTCTTTAACAAAAATTTTTTCTTTGTATTATTATTAATTTAACCGCGGACGAAAATTAAAAGAATGGAGAGTACCTATATGTATACACTATACTGTAACGTATATGGTGACTCTCTGTATTACCGCCTATTATAATGAGATCAAAAGCACTAAAAAAAAAATAATAATAATAATATAATACAATGAACCGTCTACATACATACATACAGTAGGGGCGTGGTATTGAACTCAAAGTTCGAATAACAATAAAAAAAAAGGGGGAAAAAACACACACTGTCTCGTTTACAATAGTGTGTATATGTGTGCGTGTGTGTGTTTTTTCAATTTTTCTATCGATGAAAAAACCGTCGCCGTTTTCCTCTGTGTAATAACACCAAAATGTATTTTAACTAATACTTCGTCTATTTATGGAATTTTAAATATAGGTTGTCGTTTGAAAATCAAAAGTAGGAAGTGATTTTACCCCGAAAATAAAAGGATCACAAAAAATAACATAAATACAAAATCGTAGAACAGCTTGTTTCTTGAATATTTTAGAAAACAAATTCCAGAAAAAGTTAATACGTTCCGAGATAACGAATGTCTTACGATAGATTAATCACTCTGTATAATTTGTTTTATTTTTCCAGTGTCCTTCAGCAAAGCAACAACTGGGACCCGCGGTTCGAGTTCACCTACCGCGGATTGGTGCCGATGAAAGGAAAACCGGAGCCCATGAAAGTTTGGCTCTTGACCAGGAAACAGAAAATGGTTTAAAAACACCGCTGAGACGTCGTTGTGAACATCAAATACTAATAATATATACCCTATATAAGTATATACATAAGTAGATTTTCTTCTATATATATTATAATATATTTAGTTATTATTTATACTCGTATACAGCAATTTTGTTAATATTGACTGTGTGTAGTTTATAATATTATTATTATATTTTAAAAAAAAAAGTTTAAACGAAAAAATATTATATTACAAGTGGTTTTGACGGGAAAAATACCGAATACCGAGTATATATCTGTTAGTTTCTCCTGCACTTATGGTTTTTTTTTCCGTTCGGCTTTATCCTCTCTCGTCCTTAATAATAATATATAATTATACGCTGGAGACAACAGCTGTTACCACTATATATATATGTATAAATATATACAGAATGTTTCTTTTATCACTTATCAAAATACGTTATTATTATAATTATTACGGTTATGTCGATTTATCGAGTCCAGTATTTTGTAGTGCCTTATGTTAATCTGCATTGAGAAACATGGTGGAAAGGAGGGAATCGTCATTTGTAAATCAAAATTCAATATGTACTCGTTTAAGGTACACCCATTCATAATAAATAATAATAAGGAGTTTTCGGGGTATAAACGTTCGAAAATAAAAATTAAACCCAATAACGATTCCACACGCGATACAAACGTTTTTATTTCGTTTACAGCTCAAAGGCTGCTGCAGGTCGGCTGCGGTTTTCCACTGCACACCCGCCCGTGTTTCTGCGTTTTCCTCGGTTTAGTCCGTAATAATACGCGATCTGCGGTCGTTTGATCGTTTCACGAATTAATTACGGTCCGACGACAATCAAGGGTGTACCGCTTTTTCAAGAGGGATAAGGTGACGTACACGTAGAGCAATATTCAATTAATACTACCTGTATAAGCGACGCTAAACCGATGTCAAAACGAAAAACGATTCTGAACGTAGTCCGATAGAGGTCGTGTTTTATCTCGGACGCGAGGTACATGTAAAGAAAATAGCGAGAGGAAAAATTGAAAAAAAAACAACCGATCTCCTCGCCCGCGCCGTCTAAAATTCTACACTTAAGTCCAGCCCGAAAATCGGGAAGATCGGAACAAAATTTCCGGTAGAAACATAAAAAAAATACACACACACACATATATATATATATAAATACTTAAACCCTTCGCCGTCCGCCCCGTCATAGGAAAACCGATCGAATTTACCCGCGCATACCATTACAATCGTCGTCGTCGCCGGACGGTCCAACAGTATCGCCCTGTATATTATTATTACTATTATTATTATTATAATATCGCGGTGTATACGTCGAGTGCCGTGCCTATAATAATAATGATAATAATATTCCCGTCGAAAGACCGCGCGTAGTAATAGTAGTAGTAGTAGTAGTAGTAGTAGTAGTAGTAGTAGTAGTCGGTAGATATATACCGTAGGGAAAGAAAAAAAAAAGGAAAAAATCGAAGAAGTGAAAAAAAAAAAAGTAGCTCAAGATACCTTCTCGCGTCTACCCGCGTGTTTCCGACGGTTCTGGTGGGGCGCGTCGGCAAACTGGTTTGCGGCGATCTCGTCTCCGTCCGCGCGAACGGGTTCCGACACAGTCTTGTACTTGGAAGATCGCGTCGCGCGCGTGCAACACTCGTCCCGTAACACGGTATTAATATTTTTGAACAATTCTTTTCAATACGCGTCGTATTCGTTCGTTTTATTTTTTTTTTCATTTTCTATTCAATACAAGCGCCCGTCCCGTTATATATCGTCGCGTGGTTTTTCGTTTTGTATCTCCCCCCCCCCGACGTTTTATTCGTCTACGATACCAGCAGCCCGTTTACACGGATATCGTCGACGGCACACCTAATAATACCCATCCATACAAAGCGGATAAGCCGCGAATAAAATAATATCGTAAGTGCGCGTTTTCGGACGTATCCGACGGCCCGAACGAGACAGAATACACGCCCGGACCGACGATAAAAGGTACGTTTAGATATCATAACGAAACGAAATGGATATCGGCGAAACGCGTTTAAGGGGATGGGTAGTCGGGGAGGTAAATATCGGAACCGGGATCCCGTCTCGGACCGCATCGTCTCGGGATCGGAAACAAAGACCGGCCGAAAACGCAAATAATATTTCCATTCTCTCTTAGGTACGTACACTGCAACCGCTGCTTGTAAGTGTCAGAATATATCGATGTGTTCGATGATCGGCTATGCCGGGACTTTGTGAGAAAACAATAACATTAATATCGTCGATTTATTTTCCCGTCGTTCAAAAGACGCGCGTCCTCGAAGGCGGGCTCTCGAAATTTTTCGAAACGCGAAAAAAAATTAACACACCCCCTCCCCACCGCCCAGCCTGACGAACCTTCGGGGGAGCGCCGCGACGGCAGTCCGTCCCTCTCGCGTCGTCGTGATTAATGTCCGTGCCTAATTGTATACGTCGTTCAACGTTACCACCCCTCGTCACGGAGCCGACATAAAAAAAAAACACAACAACGGCGCGTACAGGAATTCCGAACGGCGGGCGAGGGGTCGAAGAGTGATTGGAGACATTTAGCCGTCCGTCCTCATAGACTTTCGAGAGACCGCGCGGCTGTATAAAATATTGTTTATTAACAATGTCCGCCTCCCACGCCCGCCCGTCGTCAAAGTACTTATATTTAAAAAAGCATTAAAAAAAAAAAAAAGGTAATTCTTTTACCAAATAATAAATCGATTTCGGTTATCGCTGTTGACGATAATATTACGCGGACACAGGTACGCGTCTTTTACTTTCGTCGGTCGACAAAATGATAACCGTATTCATATGTATTTTCTATTTTGAAAAGACCTCCAATCAAAAGACCACGAATCGATTTGTGCCGTTAGATTTATACTTTTTGGGTCGTTTGTTTTAATACTAGAGTTTACGAGCCTATTAACAAAAACTTAAAGGTAGAAACAGTGGCAGTATTTGTCCGTTGGTTTTTTCTCGGTGTTTTAATTTTCAAGCGAGATGTGAAATATTACAGTTTAAAAATCGTCGAATCTGGATTGAAAATTAAAATTAAAAAACCTACGTACAAACACAAAAACAACATGCTTACCCTTAAGTTAGTTAATACGCTGATACATTCCAATATTAAAACGAACCGCACAAAATAGGTTAAAATATAATTATAACGATATAAACCGATTTTACAACATTGATCATAACAGATGTAAAATATTATGCGGCAGTTTGAAATCCATTCGTAAAATATGAAAGCACGATTTGTCGGTTACGATAATTTTTTTTTATTATTATTATTATACAATAGAATAAACGAATTAATTAAAACGCTTTATTCCTTTTTTTTTTTTTTTTTAATTAGATAATGTATAGTCAAATTGATAGTAATACAAACGATAACAGTATAACAGGTACCTCATATAGCTATGTAAACGTTTATTTTTTCTGTAATTTGCATTTTGGCAAATGTTTCAATGTCAATGGATTTTTCATTTTTTTTTTTATATATATATAACTGCTATATTATTTTTAGAAACCGGATTTATGTGTTCTTAACCCCCACCCCCTCCCAAAAAAAAAACACTCGAAAACGTCCAAAAGCCTTGAAAAAAATTACTTGTCGGATATGTAAAAACGCAAAAATAATTTTATAAAAACAATTTTCTAACATCACGAAAATGATTAATAAAAGGTAATTTTTTTTTTCTATAATACATACAGTTCTATTTAAAATAAATCATTTTTGCAGTGTAAGACAATTTAATTTAACAAATCGGAGCCAATAAAGGGGGACTTTAAAATTCCTCTATCGTTTTTACTTTTTTAAATATTTTCAAGTAGTTTTTTTTTTTAGTGTTTTTCAGCGCTTTTTTGTGGATTATAAAAGAATATAAATCCGGTCTCTAATTATTATTATAGCTGGTAATATAATCAGTTTAAGCGTCTCTGTAGAATATCGTTTAAATTACTATTATTATCGAATCAATACACTGAATACTGATATTATTATTATTTTGAAATTATTAAATCGAACATACCTACTTATACATACAATATTATAATAATAACTGCGAATCGTAAAATAATATTAAGACAGAGGTATTGTTATATGAAACTAAAACGTACTGCAGATTGCACCGAACGAATTAAATTATAATCCAAAATTATGACATATTTAAAATGCATGCGAGATGTATCAATAAGGGGGGTAAGTGGATATAGCAAAGGTTGTTCACGAACTGTATAAGATGGAGATGAAGAAAATGTGCGATTTCGAGCGATAAAATATGGAAAGGGGTTGAACCCACCGAACAACGGCCGTAAAATATCTAGCGTATAATATTTTTCGTCGGTTGTCCCCTCCATTGTTTTAGATATTTTGATCGCCTCCCTAGAAAATAGAAATTACTAGAAGAAACGATCGAAAGTATATTTTATGACGGTCGTGTCTCGGGACGAATAATATATATATATAGCCATTTGTCCGTTTATACACCTAGGTATAATCTCGTGTTTTACGAACATTAATTCGAGATGAATGTTTTACCGTCGTCCGAGGACGTACATAATTAAGGCGAGGGAAACTAAACGCCACCGTGGAAAACGGTGCGGTCGAATCGGTTCCCCGCATAAACACGAGCGCAGTCGATATTTTTACCGGGACCCGGGTCGAGAGATAGGCGACATAGGCATACGCCTCAGGCGGCATTTTTCAGGGGTGGAATTTAAAATTGTCGACGTAGTATTTACATGTTACATAAGGGGCGGCAAAATGTATGTTTGTTCGGGCGTGCAGTGCTCGAGCCGGTCGTGTTTTTACTATGGGAAGTGACTCTGGAAGTGACCGTATAATATGTACTATTGAGTTTAGAGGCTGCCGCCGATACGTTCATAGCTTTTGAATATTGCCGATAAACAATCGGTGAAATAGTTTTAAAAAACCGAATAAACCGTATTGCACGTTATTATTGCAGGTGGGCAAATTCGGATAATATCAATATTCGCCTTCGGTGTTTCGACTGTATCGAAAAACATCGCGGTCGCATTCCGTGAGCCGATTCAACGGTCGCGGCGAAAAATCGCTCGGAAACGTTTATTATTGATATATCGCGGACGGTTTTTTTTTTTTTTTTCATCGTTATTAGGTATTGTTTTATTTTTTTTTCTCAAACACACGCATCGTGGGCCGCGAATTCGCGCACAGTAACACCGGCAGCGGCCGCGCGAGTGTATAATGACAATA